GCAGTGCAAGACAAATAAATTCTTTAAAAATCATACAATTTGATTTCCTGAATTTTTTTTAAATTCTGTCTCTCTGAGTGAGAATGCACCTACAATGTGAATTTCAGACCCGTCCATGATTTCTAAGTGGGAGAACTTGCAAAATCGCAGGGTGTTCAAATACTTCTGTTCCTCACTGTATATATATAAAATATATATGTATATATATATATATATATATATATATATATATATATATATATATATATAAAATGAGTAAAAAAAAATAACATAAAATTAAAAAAAATAGTTGTTTTATTGTTACTGTTTTATTGTTAACCATTGCTGTTTTCTTTGCAGGAATGCCATTCAGCTGCAGCACCGATCTGTTTATTTTGACAGCAACAGGATCCTGCTTTCAAAATATACGTATGTGCAGCGCCATTGGATGAGATTTTTCATCCGCAATTTAAAAAGAACATATATGCCAAAGCATAGGGGCCTGGGGTGGCCAGTGGGTGGATGGCCCCTATGCTTCACATATATTTAAAAACATTTTGTGGGGCAGAGATTTCTTCATCCACATTGATCGATATGAATAGAGGAATCTGTTAGGTTCTTTTTTTTTCATTTAGCCCCTGAGCTGAACGAAAAAAAAGAACATTTCATGTGTGCCCACCGTTAGAAGTGGCTGGATGTAGGGCGGTATATTCTAATGGTGGGCATACCACACACTTTTTCAGTCAGAGATTACTTCTCTTATTTTCATTCATCCCACAGGCTGCATACAAAAAACAAAACAAAACATAGTAAATACAGTATACCCTACAAGGACCAGTGATGTATTGGTACATTATTGGACTTTCAGTGGTTATACCAGGATGATGCCTGCATTTTTAACTTAAACCCAAAAACCCACAATTATAGTGAAAAGATCAAAACCAGCTGCCACCGTGTTTCTGCCAGCTGACCATAGAGCTGAATGGAGACCGGAATGGACCAATCATCTTTACAGTCTAAGAAACCGGAAGCTATGAGCATTTCATCACTTCAGTTTCGCCAGATATAAACAGCGCCATTTTTAAAATGGGAAAGCATCAGATCACACCGATCTTGGTGAGATCAGATGATGTAAGGGCAGAGGAGATATCTAGAGTCTGATAGACCCCAAATTTCTCAGAAAAGAATACCTGTCACTGACTATTGCTGTCACATGGGATATTTACATTTTGTGATAACAATAAAGGTGATCCAAAAAAAAAAAATGAAAGGGACAGAGTAAAAATTAAAAAAATTATCCCACCCGTGCGAGGAACATCGTTGGCCCCCTGTCTATATATATATACAGAGGTTGCATGTGAGGAATTACCACGAATGTCAGATCGAGGGCAGTAATTATAGCACTAGACCTTCTGTGTAAATCTAAAAAGGTAGCCTGTAAAGACTTTTAAATCATCACCTATGGATATTAAAAATGCATGCAGTTTGTCGCCGTTTGGTATCTATTAACTTGACATACCATCATCTTTTATATTTTACCAAACAGTTGGACAATTTATTGTGTTTTTGTGCATTAAAAGTAAAAAAGTGTATTTTTTTCAAAAAATTTGTGTCTGAAAAATTGCTGCGCGAGTACTATGTGACATAAAAAAATTGCAACACCCACCACTTTATTCACTAGGGCGTCTTCTTTAAAAAAAATCTATAATTTTTGGGGGGATTTTTCATGTGAACAAAAAGTGTCAGAAAAGGCTTGGCTTTCAATTGATTAGAAGAGTGAGTGATGTGTGGCATAAGGTTCAAGTGCTGGATATAAAATGCCCCCCCCCAAAAAAAATGACCCCTTTTTGGAAAGTAGACACCTCAGACTATTTGCTGAGAGGCTTGTTGAGACAATAGAATAATTTTATTTTTTTACCACAACTTTTTGAAAAAATGACACAAAAAAAATGTTTACACAAAGTTTTCAATTAAATGATATGGTGCTCACAAATGTCATGGGTATATGTGGAATTACACCCCAAAATACATTTTGCTACTTCTACCGAGTGGTGGGAATACCACATGTGTGAGACTTTTTGGGAGCCTAGCCACATACAGTAGCCTGAAATCCAATGACCACATTTGAAAGCCTGAAGGCGCGTAACTTCATTTCACTTCCTTACTACCTATCACACAGTTTTTCTGAGGTCCTGAAATGCCAGAATAGCACCAACACACCCCCCCCCCCCCCAAATGACCCCTTTTGGAAAGTAGTCACCCCAAGGAATTTAAAAAGAGGCATGGTGAGTGTTTTATTGAATTGTACTTGGCTAGACTGCCAAAAATTCTCTCACATGTGGTATCCCCATACTCGAGAGAAGTAGCAGAATGTATTTTGGGGTGTGTAATTCCAAATATACCCATGGCATGTGTGAACAATATACCCATTTAAATGACAACTTGGTGTAAAAAAAAAAATAAAAATCTTTTGTCATTTTCCAAAAACTTGTGGAAAAAAATAAATCTTCCATGGACTCAACATGCCTCTGAGCAGATAGCTTAGGGTGTCTACTTTCCGAAAAGGGGTAATTTGGGGGTGTTTGTACTTTCCTGGTATTTTTAGCACCTCAAAAAAATGTAATAGGCAGTCAGAAAGTAAAAGCTGTGTACATTTCAATGTCCCATACCAAAGTTTGTAGAAAGTATAACTTTCACACATACCAATTATTATACAGCTATTTGGATTTTTTTTTACCAAAAGACATGTAGCAAAATACATTTTGGCCTAAATTTATGATGAAATGTGAGTTTATTGGATATTGTTTATGACAGAAATTAGAAAATATCAATTTTTTTTTATTTTCTGTCTTTTTTTTGTTTAGCGCAAAAACTAAAAAACCCAGAGGTGATCAAAAACAACCAAAAGAAAGCTTTATTTGTGTAAAAAAAGGACATAAATTTAATTCATGTTCAGCATTGCATAACGCTATAACTTTCACACAAACCAATTAATATACATTTATTGGGATTTTTTTTTACCAATGACATATAGCAATATATATTTTTGGCCTAAATTTAGGACGAAATTTGGGTTTATTGGATATTTTCTATAACAAAAATTTTCGGTCTTTTTTGTTTACAGTGCAAAAAATAAAAAACCAGAAGTGATCATATACCACCAAAAGAAATCTCTATTTGTGTGAAAAAAAGACATAAATTTTGTTTGGGTACAGCACTGCATTTCAATTACCAGTTGAAATAGCGCAGCACCAAATAGCAAAAAATGGCCTGGTCAGAAAGGGGGGTAAATCTTCTGGAGGGCAAGTGGTTAATCCAATTTTCTATGGATAACAATATAGGCAGGAGGTGTTTAATAGACATATTGCCTGTCACAGGTCTTGCCGTGAACAACTTATCTTTCAGCTGGGGTTATTAGACTATCAAACCTTTGTTTCACCAGTTGTTTAGATGGATTTGCCTTTCCTTCTCTTCCTCCAGTGCAAGATCTGCTTTCTCAGCCATACCACTTATCCTCCTCCAGTATGCCTCTGCTGATTCAACTTTTCCTTGTTTAGCATTCATGAATTCAGCATGCCTCGTTTGACCATATATTGGGGCAATTTTTCTTTTCTGACAAACCTCCCATCCACTCTCTATCTTCTACAGCTTTGTGATGTCTACATCATTCTTTAACCCATTCCTGCCTAAGGGTAAAAAAATATTGATGCCTAAGCACAACTTTGACCTGTGTTAGTGAAACTGTACATATTACAACTACATTACGCATCCAGGTGGATTATACCTTGTTTTTTTCAGGATAAAGTGAGCTTTCATTGGGTGGTAAAGGGTAATGGATATCTCCCAATTTTTTGTTATTACCAAAGGAAAGCTGGCCCAAAAGAGTAAACAAAATATTTAAAAAAAAAAATGTAGCTGTATATTTCTTGCTAATACCATAATCTACTTCCAAAGAACAACCCAAAATATATTCTCCTGCTCTTTTCGATTGCAGCGATACCACATACTGGATGAGATTTCTACTTGGTGGCCAACTCAAGATTAAACAGAAGCAAAGTGGATTTTGGAGGAGTACCCCGGAAATGAAGTATTGAAAGATATGGATTCCTTAGGATAGCATATGCTTGAGAATAACTTCAAGAGGGTAATAGTACCTGGTATCACTTTTGGCTGGATTATAGAGGGTACTAGTACCTAGTATCACAATTCACAAGTGGTTGGATCACAGAGTGTATATGTGATTGAAGTGGTCACGAGTTTTCACGTTTTGGGTTTTATTTATTTATTGATTTATGCATTGAAAGAATAAGTATATATTTTATATACTACTTGCATAAGTTTTTGTTTTTTTTTTGTTTTTTTTCTCACTATTTTAAGAGTGGTTTTGTGTTTTTGCACAGAGTGAAGTACATATATTTAAAAAGATAATACACAATGGATTTTTCCTTTTCTTTTTATTTTTGAGGTTTTCATGGAATATTTTGGATCAATTTCCTTCTAACTGGATTGAAGTGAAAATTTGGGACTTGGATATTGGGACACATTTGGATTTTTGTTTTATTTTTTTTTATGTTATTTTATGTGATTTTGTTACACGATTGGGAGTGAATTTAAATTGGACACAAATTTTAAGTTTAACTGTATTTACTTTAATTGTATAAATTAAATTATATTTGTAGAATTTTAATTTTCGGTTTTATGTGGGATTTATATGGTTTATCACAAAAAGGATATGTTAGATTGTATACTTTCTAGGGAGAAAGTGTGACTTTTTGGTTGGAGTGGAAGGGAAGGAGTTTATTGATTGATTGATACCACATACTGTATGTGTATATTAGTTACTGTATGTACACGTAGTACAGCCCAGAAATAATAGTGTACATTTTTGCCTAAAACACACTGACACTGATACTAATTAAAAAAAAAAAAATTTAAATCCTGCCCCAACAGTTTTCACTGTTTGAGATCTCAGGCATTTACAAACACCTACTATGTACAGACCATGGAGCAGTGTCTTTTAGGAAAAGCTTTGAAGTGGAGGTATAGACAAAACACAAAATAACCTATGATGCATCCTTAGGCCTGTTTCACATGGGCTTCAGCTTGTATAAGGCTGGTTTCACACCAGGGGCGGACTGACAACTCATGGGGCCCCCGGGCAATAGGGGATCATGGGGCCCCTGTGTCCTTGCCCACACTCAAAGCACACCCAAAAAAGCCTATAAAAGGTACCAGGGGCATCTCATGGGGCCCCTACTGAGTGCTCAAATGGTCAGTCCGCCCCTGTTTTACACTGATCCATTTCGCTTAACTTTTTGCATAAAAATAAAGTGGAAGAAAAACGTGTGACCATGTATTCCTATGGAACTCTTCACACTGATCTGTTGCGGGTCCGGTGCATTTTTGTTTGCTGCATCTTTGGTGCAGGTTTGGTGCGGTAAAAAAAAAACACACCAAAAACTAACCTCCCCATTGAAATCAATGGAAATCGTGGCAAAAACGCATCAAAAACATTCAGTCACGTGCTGTAAAATATGCACTGCAAACATGCTAATAATGCGGCAAAAACGCACATGCATTTTTGCGACGTTTTTGCTACTGATCAGTTTGAAAGTGGCCTTAAAGTGGTGTAAACAGCAAGCTTTGACAAAGCATTTGTGAGCTTTTAGCAAGCTTTGCTGATGCTTTTAACGTACTATTCAACTCCAGTTTTGTAAATTTTTCAACACTTCTTGAAGCTTGTTAAAAATCTGCTGAAGCCTGCTAGCAGCTTGCTTAATTAACCACTTGCCTACCGGGCACTTATATCCCCTTCCTGCCCAGGCCAATTTTCAGCTTTCAGCGCTGTTGCACTATGAATGACAATTGCGCTATCATGCAACATTTTTTTCACACAAATAGAGCTTTCTTTGGTGGTATTTACTTGCCACTGGGTGTTTTATTTTTTGCGCTATAAACAAAAAAAGAGCAAAAAATGTAAAAAAAAATACTTTTTTTTTGTTTTTATTATAAAATTTTGCAAACAGGTAATTTTTCTCCATCACTGATGTGCGTTGATGAGGCTGCACTGATAAGCAGCACTAATGGGCACTGATGAGGTGGCACGGATAGGCAGCACTGATGGGCACTGATAGGCAGCACTGATGATGCTGCACTGACAGGTGGCACTGATGATGCTGCACTGATGGGTGGCACTGCTGGGCAGCACTGCTGGGCGGCACTGATGGGCACAGGTGGGTGGCACTGCAGGGCACAGGTGGTGGCACTGATGGGCACAGGTGAGTGACACTGCAGGGCACAGGTGGATGGCACAGGTGGGTGGCACTGCTGGGTACAGGTGGGCGGCACTGATCATCAGGGCACTGATGATCAGTGCCGATCCCTTTGCTGACAATTGCCGGTTCTCGTGGTAAAAGGCCGCTGTGATTGGCCATTTACCGAATCACTGGCGGCACCGGGGGTCGCGCTGCTGGGGGCGCGCATGGGGGCACGTTCCGGAAACGAAACGCGTCAGCAAAGTGAAGCCTGACGTAATTGCGCAAAACCAGAAGTGGCGGCGCAGCCATTTTGTGGACTGGAAAAATGTGTTTTGTATCTTAGGAAGCTGCTGTGGCTGGATCATCGGAATCTATCACTGAACGTTTAAAGTCCCTAATGTAAGATGCTGCATTAAATGGTTTGGTATCTATTACATCATGCTACATGGGTTCTTTTCTATCTTTTATGACGATGATGGTGCACTAAAGGTTTACCCTACATACAGCTATTGAGAGCCTGAAAGTGACTGCTAGAACATCTAAATATCCCTTAAGGCTTGATATTACTCCAGTAACAAAAATAAAAAACCAGGATGCCCTAAACCATGAATAGTGGTGAAATGTAAACAACCGGGTTTCAAAAGGATAACCCCAAATTAATTGATACCATTATAGCCGACTCACTTGTGAATAACCCAAAGTGGTGTCTTCGGAACCAATCATGAGCATATAAAGAGGAGAGAAGCAAGGGAAAGAGATCCCATTGGTCAAGGGGTCCCAATGAGGACAAACCGCGGCTTGGAAAAAACAATGCAACCATTTATTGCAAAAATATAAAAATTGAAGATTACACACTAATAAAGGTATTGCAGACCCCACCACCACCGACAGAAAAATACACAAAGGCTAGAGACAACGTGGTTATCCAGGTTGGCAAACAGCGCTGTGAAGTCCCGGCACCTCAGATGGAATAAGATGTCAGTGGGGATCATGCGGTGAATAGAATAGTATAGAGCAAAATGGGTGAAAAAAGCCTTAATGAGAAGCCTTAATAATATAATGAAGGACAAACAACAGACTAGTAATAATAATCAATATTGAGCCATTAGATGATAGAGAAAGTTGCTCCCACCTGCCAATAATCTCTTATGTGGAATTGCCCGCATAACGAGGGATATCAGCACCAGGGGCGGACTGACCATATACTTTGGAAACTCGGGCACTGCCCGAGGGCCCGGGGTCAGTAGAGGGCCCCATGAGATGCCCCTGGTACCTTTTTCATAGGCTTTTTTGAGTTTGGGCAAGGACACAGGGGCCCCATAATCCCCTATTGTCCGGGGGCCCCATGAGTCAGCACTATATATGTGCTATATGGGAGAGGCAGGGAGTTGAAGATAATTGAAGGCTATCTGGAATGGCACTGAAGTAGTGATGTAGAATAGAATAGAATAAATGCCAACTTCAATATACATTATATGGAGTATATAGAATGCCATAGGATATATATCGTGATGAATATTAAATGGATGTAAACAAAACCCCATATAGGGAAATGTAGTCCATCACTAAATGAGTCCTTTCCAGCATATGGTGATGCAAGATCTGCCAGTCTTCTCAGCTTAGTTGAATCAATGATTTCACTTTAAATATCTTGATTTCACTTTAAATATCTTGATGTGAATAGTATCACCAAAATTGTCCCTGCACTGCAGAGCCCTGAAAAGATGTGCTATGAATATAGCAAATTGATGTGAGCATAGGTAATACATGCAGTGTACTCTGATATGCCTAGAGATAGATTGGAATGGATATCACATATTCATCAACTGGGTTGTATCAAATGATGATGCAGGTTCAAAATTATGAACTGACAATTGTGCACAGGTGATGTTCATTTAACTTATGGTCTCACCATATCCTGCCCCAGGTTCTTGAGAATACCATCCTTCACCAGTTCCAAATGGCTTGTACCTGTTGCTCCCTGAATGTCCCATGTGGATGCTGAATAGAGCCACATGTATATTTATGGCGCGTATATAGCTGCTGTAGAATATGAGGTATTGCAGCCAAGTCTTCCCCTCAACATTATGGTTGATGCAGAGCATGCAGCGGTGCGGCCAGGTCAGCCTATGGTGTCTTGGATGTGTGCAGAGCTTGCAGCGGTGTGGCCAAGTAAACATCCCAAACCTAGGGATCAGAGGAGACCATGTGAATATCCATGCAGAGAGGAGGACCGGCGCTAAACAGCCAGTCAGCCGGGACTGCGCAAGCGCGGGCGTCACTCGGATATGACGTAACACGTTTCGCCCACCGAGTCACGTGGGCTACTCCAGAGTACCAGCAGCCATGTTTGGGAGGTCCTTTATAGTCCACTAGAGCCTCGTTTTCAGTTCATAGATGCGCTCAGTGGACAATCAAACAAGGAACAAAAAAACAAACAAAATGACATCATCTCTATAAAAGACCTATTGAAAAATATTAGTGCAAGAACATAAAATATAAAGATTTGGAAGTAAGACTAATATGTTATCATTAAACCAATTGTAAATGTTCAAAAACCCACTATAGCGGGTATATGAACATAGGTGCGCACAGTGGGGACAAATACAACAATTAATAATAAATTTTAAACAAATCTCAAAAATATCAAACATAAAAAAAATATTATATTAATTATAAAGATGGTAATATTATAATTAATAAAAATAAAAATGAAAATAAATATATCCCAACAAATATCTGGAGACTACACTTATTATTTAAGCAGACCGGTGCCAGGGATCCTAATTTAAATATCCATAATATTTTCTTTACGCAACAATATGGTGTCAAAATCGCCCCGTCTTAATGAGAGTTTCAAAGCATATATTGCCTTCACTCGTAATCCAATCGGGGAGGACTCATGCATCTGGGCAAAATGCTCTGCCACTGGAGTACGGTCATGGTGGTTGCAAATGCTATTAATATGTTCTCCTATGCGAACTCTTAATGGACGTTTAGTTTTGCCTATATAGATTTTATTACAAGGACACTGTAACATATAAATCACTCTGGTAGTGGCAGAATTAACAAAGTGTTTTATATGAAATTGATTCACTCCTGTGGCATCCATAAATGTATCCGTACGGTCAACATATTTTCAAATTGTCCGCAAGGATACATATCCTTCAAGGGTGTCAAAGAGGGGAGCCAATTCCTTGGAGAGGAGTGCGCACAAATTCCAATTGCACAAGGTTATCACGCAAGTTCATGGCCAGTTTGGCTACCATGAAAGGCCTAGAGCCCACTATAGAAGAGAGCTCTGGTGTTTGTGTCAATATGTGCCAGTGCTTAGTGAGAATTGTGCGCACTGCTTTCAATTGATTTCTATATCTTGTAATAATCCGCACAGGGGAAGATTTATTAGAAGAAGATTCGGGTTCTACACCAGTCACGAGTTCACTGTGATTTCTCTTAGATGCTTTAGACCGAGATTCTCGGAGACTACCATGAGAATATCCTCTCTTTCTCGGAATCTCCGATAAAGGTCATGAGCTTCATCCAGATAGTCCCCCTGCTCGGTGCAGTTACGACGAATTCTTAGGAATTGACCCATAGGGATACCCGTTATGAGCGATTAAGGATGGTGACTAGATGCCAGCAACAAGGTGTTAGCAGCAGTTTCCTTACGGAAAGTTTTTGTACTTAATGTTTCAGCCTTGATGGATATCTGTAAATCCAAAAAGGAAATCTGATGTCTATCAAATGTATATGTCAATCTGATATTTTTATCATTTCGATTTAACTCAGCCAGAAATATTTGTTTCTCCCACCACCCTAAGTGTAAACAGGCATAGGCCGGAGCCCAGGGGGCTCCCATAGATGTTCCTCGTACCTGGTGATATGAGGTCCCAAGGAACAGGAAGAAATTGAAATACAAAGCGAACTCCAAAAGTTCGATCAAAAATTTATTTTGTGCATCCATAGAAGGATATGCTTGATCAAGGAAATGGGTCACCGCCTTGATTCTCCATGTATGGGAGATTGATAAATAAAGTGATTCGACATCAA